GAGCACAGCGCGGTCTCCTGCCAGGAGGCCGGGGGCGCCAGGCCGAAGCCTCCGTTGTTGTTCAGGGAGTCCTGGGGACAAGGGGCAGCGCTGAGAAGGGGCGAGAGGGCCAGCTGCCGGTGCTGGGCCCCGGGTGCACGAACCCAGGCTCGGCCCAGGGCGCTGTGCGCCAGGCACTCACCTGGGCTCCCAGCGTGGTCAGGTGCAGCGTGGTGGGCCGGAGCCTGTGGGGCTCTTCCAGGGCAGGGGAGGGGATGAGAGGCTCTGAGGCCGGGACCCAAGAGCCGGGGCCTCCTCCCTCCTTGCCCTCCCCATCTTCCTCCTCCCCGTCCTCGTCCTCCTCCTCCTCGCCGTCCTCCTCCTCCTCTTCGTTGCCATCGATCATCTCAAACTCCTGGAAGTCATCCTGGAAGGAGCAGATGGGGTGCGGCTGTTCCGAGCGCCCCAGGGAGAGGCTATCCTGCAGGAAGGAGGGAGACAGCAGGGCTGGGCCAGAGTGCGACAGGGGCTCAGCCCCAGGTGCCAGGAGCGGGGAGGGAAACGCAGGGAGCCGGGAGTCCAGGGAGAGCCCCTGGCAGCTCCCTCCGTTCCCCTCCCCCAACTCCCACCCACAGAGTGATGTTTTTAAAAACTGTTAGACACACAGGAATCACTCCGGTTCTTGGGAAGGGCCCAAACGCCTAAGGCTGGACACAGGGATTCTCATCTCCCGACCTCATCTCACTCCGGAACCCCACCACATTGGACACCAGCACTGTTTCCTTCGCAGCATTTCAACACAATTCACAGCTACTGCACGAGGTTTTTGGTCGGTCTCTGCAACCTGACTGCAGCCCCATTGGGGTGATGCCTTGTCTATATTGTGCACTACCACACCCCACCCCGAGAACAAGACTGAGGCTCAGTGGATGTTTAGTAACTATCAAATGAATGCACAAAGCAACAGCCTGCACTGAGGAGTTGCCATGCTTGCACCAATCCCAGGGCCTTGGGCACAGTTAATCCCTTTGCAGGCAAGTCCTCCCCTCCATTCCCTCCTACCAGCCCCATCTGCCTGGCTCCTGCTAACCTCAGGGCATAGTTGACATTTCCTCTTGAAAACTCCCTGATTCCCTCAGTCTGGGTTGGGTTCCCTTCCCCCTTGTTGAAGCTGCATCCCCGTTGGACTCCAGAACCTGACACTTGGGCAGCCATTGTCTCTCCATACCTCTCCCCCCACCAGGCTGCAAGCCTGTTCCACTTGCAGCACTAGAAGCCCCCAGAACTTGCCACATGGCGGTTGCTCAGAAATGTTCTTGAATGAATGAAAACAGAAATGTGGAGAGATAGGGAGGAGGAGGAGAAGCAGGAGATGGGGGAAGAAAGATTTCAGGGTGGAGACATGAGACAGACGGAAGCCACAGAGGACTGGGGAGGTGACAGGTTGGGACGGCAGCTGAAAGTGGTCAAATCTTCCTGGAATATATCTGAGGACAGAGGACACCCAGAGCAAAGGTACACCTCCCCTCCCCAGGATAGCCCACTGATAGGAGTCAGGGGAGGACTGCTGGGAGGGCCCTCACTGGAGGCCCACAGTGTGTTAAAGTAAGAGATGTCTGTGTCAAGGCAACTCAAGGCCAAGAGGCTGAAAGAGGGCTCCCCGTTTCAAGGCTGAGCTCACAGCACCTGGACACCTCCCCCCCAGTAAATGTTAAGAAGAGGCTCCGCGAGGCCCTCCCATGAGTTGGCTCTGTGCGTCCGGCTCTCCCCACCTTCTCGCAGTGGTCTGAGTCGTAGCTGAGGCCCAGGCCACAGTCATCAGTGATCTCAGACAGGTCTTCATCGTCAAATTCTTCCAGGCTTATGTCCTGAGGAGGCCTGGAGAGAGACAGGGTCAGAGTCACCTACCCTGGCCTCCCAGTCTGGGAGCTGGTCCTGAGGAGGCGCCAAAGGAGACCTCCAGAGCCTCGGCCCCATGGTCTCCAGAGCCCCCACTCCCAGGCCACATCCTGCTGTCACTGTGACCCCCAAGCTCTGTTCTCTGGTGGATCCCCTCCCCCACCTGAGCCCGGTGGCCCAGAGGAACCAGCCCTCCCCCCACTGTCTTCCATCCCCTCCCTCCACACACAGCCCCAGGCTCCCCAGGCCCCGGGGCACAGCTGGGCCTCAGGGCGGCCGCCTGAGCCCAGCAGGGGGAGGGGAGTGAAGGAGCAGACGCTGCAGGCGAGGGAGGGGTCATGCCGCTCTGCGAACAGGGTCTGGCCTGCATGTCTCCCCTCTCCTGCCCGGAGGTCCAGCCTCCCACTCCCAAGCTCAGGCCCTTCCCCCAGAGCTCCAGGCTTGACCTCTGCTCTCTCCCTGCCTGGGCCCAGTCGGCCGGTCAGGGGCTCCGACGAAGAGAAGCCCAGGCCACAAGGACGCAGCCAAGCTTCCAGGGTGTGCCCAGCCCCCGGTCCAGCAGGCTGCCCCTCAAAGCGTCAGTCCAGGGCCTCTACCCTTGACAGGTCAGCTGCCCGGGCTGGGTGCGGCTCAGAGTCCCCGCGGAAAATGGGGGGTCATTAGGGCTGGACGACAGGCGGCGAAATGGAGAGACTCCGGGCCCAGGGTGGGGGCGGGGATCAGGAGTC